GAATTTCCTAGTACTTTGTTACCTTGTACCTTGATTCCTATGGATTTATGCATTAGGCAGTATGATGCTCGTGCTCAAACTAAGACCATGATCTTGTAACTTGACTAATGGAATACGCAATAAACACAAAAAGATGCTTTTTAGCAACCTGAAACAAGGGGACTAGAGCATAGTTTTTGTGATGCTCTAGATTCCTCTCCCTAAGGACTTATCTGTAAGTGATCATTCAGGACTTACAGTATAACTATGGGGGCCACATAGCTCTGGCTTTAGTCAAGTAGGAGGACCTTTTCTAGCTTGTTAGTGGTTACCTTCATGTCACAAAAGGGGCTTGCCGAGTCGGGTATAGGACAACCTCTAATCTTATGTGTATAGCCGTGAAGGAATTATGTCATTCGAAAGGGGGTTCCTATATCTGCTTGTCAATTGGAAACCTAGCGGCCCTAACTTGTTAGATGAACCTTTAAAAGGCTTCATAGTGAACCGTACCGACCTTCCTTGGTAGTGGGCCAAGAGGCTAATCACCTCCGGCGAAAGGGTAGATCACGACTCATAGTGATTGTGTACAACCTCTGCAGAGTGTAAAACTGTTATAACAGCCATGCTCACGGTCACGAACGACCTTGAAACCCTTACAGAATAGATGATGAACACTAATGATACTGATGATACAGATGCTCACTTATGATTATTGTTTTTGCTATTCATTATTCATGTTTACCTGATCATGTGTTTATACGGGATTATGATAAATTTGATGCTACTCAACTGCTTAAAATCATGACTCATTAAAAGCTAATCGCAGTTAAACCAGTGTCAGCCTTTTGAGCCTCATAAACCCCATGTTATATTTGTTGAGTACGACATGTACTTACGCTTGTTTTACTTTTTAATTATTTGGATAAAAATCCTAGATGAGTACCAGATTACAAGAGTTTGAAGAAGTTAGGCTTGTGATCAACCAGTTAGTTGTCCCTGTGGAATTGGAGTCTTCACCCGAAGATCAGAGTTGTGTTTCCGCTATTTGTTGTCTAAGGTTATATCCTTTTATACTAAGTATGTTAAGCATTGTCTATTGATATTACCTCTATTTGTAGCTATATGTGAGATTTGACTTCCTAGGCTCACATATGATGTGCATCTAGTTTTGTTTTTAAAACCGGGTGCTACACTAAACACAAGGGATTTACTCAAAACAAATTTGGAGCAAAGGTGGGGCTAGTGGGGCTAAACTCTCGGGTTGCCCAACACTAGGGGGGGTCGCTCGACCCACCCAATGGGCCCCACTACCCTAAAATCCTAGTGAAGCCATAAAACACACTCCAAAGCATTTTTTGACCCTTGGATGGAAGTTGTGTTTTCTTTAGATGGCTTACGTGCAATGCACAAGGATTAAAGGGCCCTCCGAAGCAATTTCCTGCAACACCATGTGAGCAAACTCAGTGGAAAACAACAAATGACAAGTGGACCAAGCTTTCCTCCAGAAGAGGGGGCCCATAGGGCAAGGGTCGGGATTCCTCCCTAGAGCTCCACCGCATTCCTCTCGTCAACATGCAAACAAGCACATATTTGGTTGATCACCATCCTTGATGATGGGACGGTTTGATCCAAGAGATGAGGTGCAAAGGACTTTGGATCCATGGGCCCATTTCAACTACTATAAATAGGGGATACCCCCTCACTTCCAAGACATGAACGCCACTCTAAGAAGTGGAGAGCTCCACTTGTACCTTAGTGCTAGTAGGATAATTTAGTGTGGGAGTTAGAGTGAGTAGTGAGCTAGTCTCAGGTTTTCCGAATTAGTCTTCCAGGGAGTCTACGGGCCTGTTCGGCAGGACTGAAAAATATTGTTCCGGCTGATTGTTGTGAGAGGAAAATACTGTTCTGACAGAACGTGAACAGTGATTTCGTGAGGTGCCTGGCCAGCCAGCCAGCCGGCTATCAGCCAGCCGAACACTGCCTACAGCTCTAGATCTAGGATTTCCTAGAGTAGATGACCAGCTCTAGAAAATCTTAGATTTCCTAGTGCTAGAACTCTACCAAACATGGGCCTTTATGTCATATCTTTATAGATATCTAACTCAATTCAAGAAAAATAGCGGTTAAAATTTGTAGTAGAGATAAAACCATCTTTGATGCTCCCGCTTAGCTGCGACAACACTATCTTGATCCATCCATTGACGAAGGCGTTTTGATTTAATCACAGGTGGGAAGTATGGAAAGCCTTCGGCAGTCTGGTTGCCTACTGTTTATATGGATATAACTAATAGACAGCCTATACGACCTGGAAACCGAAAACGAATCGGCTTATATGTGGGGTTATTTTTTTTAGAAATATATGTGGGGTTATTGTTTTTCGGCAGCCGAAACCGAGCCCACGGGCTTCCTGCCGCACCTGATGAATCCGAATCAACGACGACTTCTCTACTCTACCTAAACTCGGTTTTGTATTTACCGTAATACCCTTCATCTTCATCCGTTTACCTTTTTCTTTCGTCGTGCGCGTTTCCTGCAGACGTCTGTTACTTTTTTCTCTTCGTTTCTTTTTCTTACCGTAGTACGCACGGTTTTTTGTTTGTTTGTTTCATCATGCGCAATGAACATTGATTTTGTGTTTCCTGTCTTTTTCGTTTCTAGTTTTTTCCTTTTTTATATTTTCCATTTTGTTTTTCCATAAATATAAAAAACAAATAATAAAAGCAATAAAATAAAGTCCTTTACCATCAAAACTTTAGCGTAATTTTCATACTTTATCTTATTATAGAACCTTGTTCAGTCAATGGTGCAATTAATCAAACTATAAACTAAAATCTAGCAGTTATTGTCCGGTCCAATATGAATAAATGTGCCTTCACGATTGTACGCATGCACACGACAATCTCCATCGAGGACCACCATGTGAAAAATGGAGAGAGTTCTCCCATCATAGTCGTAAGTGGATAGATGACCCGTCTTTTACAATACTAGAAACTGCCTTCTTGTCGACTTAAATTAAAATGGACTTTTGCGGGTCCTCAAAGGTAGCCATCAAACTTGATATTTAACTGTAATAACATATAGAGTCTAAAAATTAAAGTTATTATATATTTATGAGTAAATACTTTTGAGCGTTACATGAAGAAAAAACTATCAAAGGTGTATTTTAATTTGATACCGGCTTAATAGGACTTGCCATGTTGTTGTCGATATTAACTTATATCATAGATGTCATTATTATCGTAAAATAAGTTATGTTTTTAAAATTATATAAAAGATAGCATATAAATAGATAGGTAGCATCGAGTTTGTTTATCGCACCTTTTTCAGTAAGACAATTCATACCAGCCTATCTATAGATTACTGGGTTTATGTTTATAATATTAACAAAGCATTTTTATGATCATAAACACGTTGTTCATTTCGTTGATTGGTAAAATATGATCTAGAAAATTAGATATAGGCATGCATATAGCAATAATCAGTTATGTTTCAGTGTTCTCTCATAGCTAATTGTGCGCAGTGTTGTCAAAGGGTGTTTCACCCAAGAGTACATGAGTTTAAGCCAAAACAAAGCTATTGATATTACCAGAAAGAGGACAAAATCTTTTACATTGATAGCTATGACATAGGTATGCTAAATCAGTGTATTTATTTTCATATTCAATTACATTTACGTTTTTATATTCCTGTAATAATTTATTCATACCAAAACTATATATCATATATGTGGCTGCAAAAAAGTTGCAGCGATTTTGTATAATGCGCTCATGTGTGTTCACTGCTGACACAATGTAGCATCGAGAACATGAGCGTCGAGAACAGAGGCAGAGGTTGCATGCAACAACAATGGCTCTATTTGTTTATCTTATAATCCGTACTTTTTAGCTTATTTTTTCAGCCGGAACAATGTTTTTCTCTTACAACAAATCAGTCGGAACAGTGTTTCGTCTTGTTTTTTCAGCGAGGCCAACGGGGTCAATGGTGGTGGTGGTGTCGCTTTGCCGCCGATGTCTCAAGTCAAGTTGGTCCCGTCTGAAGACTTGAGCACAGTGCACAGATCAGATCGTGGTCTGGCATGCTCGGTTACCTAAAAATCTACTTCCTCGTCTAAAATAAGTGCATGTCTTACTTCCTGAGGTGTCAAATCATTTTAAGTTTTACCCAATATATCGAAAAGATACTCATATATAGTAATGATGTGTAATGAGTATCTTTAGATTGATAATGGAATATACTTTCATAATAAACTTATTTAGAAATATAAATATTGATATCGTTTTCTATAATACTTAGTCAAGCCTAAAAACATTTGACTTTCGGAAAACGAGATATATATTTATTTTAGGACGGAAAGAGTTCACTTGCCTGCACACCATCAACTCAGGGTCCGACGGAACCCTACTCTCCTCTTGCTGCTGCTCCGCTGCGGAGAAGGCAGCCACGACGAGGCACGCGGCCGCACCCTTGTCTCGTCTGGCACGGTGTGTGCGCGTGTACAGCGTCTGCAGCTGGGTCCAAATCCACATCGTTGCTTACCGATTCACCTCGCATGCAAGCCGCTACCTTCCGGGAGGACTGCGTCGTGGAACGAGGATCAAAAAATGTGATACGTTCTTTAAGAAAGGATTTTTCACTGTGATAACGAGATTGTTTCACGTTCCCGGATAAGAACGCAGGTAGGTTACAGAAACGTGGCACCGTACCACATTCCCGGTGACACTGCTTTCGTCGTGCCGTCGCTCAGCGATACGATGAGCACACGATACTGCACTCAGGGTCCTGACCCCTGATGAGCACACGATACTGCACTCGTCGAGGTGATGGATCGCAGAGGACGACACAGCTGTGTCAGCTTGAATCAGATCCCACAAGGGATGGAGAGAAATTAAAGATGAGCGCATATTCCACTATTACACATCAAGGCAAGCAATATATATAGTATCAAACACATAAACTCCTCTCCCTGCTTCTTCTCCCTAGCCGCTTCCTCTCCCCCTCTCTCACACTCTTTTTTTTTGTCCTCATTTGGTCGTCACTCGAAGATTATGGAAGCAAGTATGAAGCCTTATTGCCTCGCCATCATCGTACAGCTGATCTACACTGGCCTGTTCGTGATATCCAAGGCAGCCTTCAACCAGGGGATCAACACCTACATCTTCTTCTTCTATCGCCAAGCAGTTGGCTCCGTCCTCTTGCTGCCAATAGCTCTTCTACAAAGGTACATCAACAAACCACCAGCTGCAGTAGCTATGTAGAAACAAAAGGCAGCAATCTCTCTCTCTCTCTCTCTCTCTCTATATATATATATATATATGCATATGCCACTTCGTATTGTATTATTTGCATGCACTGCACTTTTTTATTAGCTGAGAAAGAGAAATACATGTCTGTTGGTTCGATTATATTTGTAGGAAACATGCACGACCCGTCATGTCATCTCGGGGCCTCTTCAAGATCTTCTTTTGTACCTTAATCGGGTATGCGCGCATCTTTGCGGTGTTTAATTTCTGCAAATTAAACAAAAGAAGGAACCGATCGGTGCTATACTTATCTGCAAGCTGAAACATGAGCTCAGTGCAGTCCCTAATAATATACTCCTACATGTGGATCGAAATTGCTTTTTCAGGATTACGCTTGGCGTAAATCTGTATAATGTGAGCCTCAAGTTCACCTCTGCAACTGTGGCATCTGCAGCAGACAGCTCAATTCCTGCCATCATCTTCTTCATGGCGGTGCTACTAAGGTTGTACGGTAAAACCAGTGGATGATCCATATATATATAGGACAGCTATGGTCACCTGCTATATACTCATAATAACATATGTCCATGCAGAATCATCCAACGCATGAGACTGCTTCATTAATTAATTCAGAGGTAATTATAATGAAAATCTATAGCCCCGTCTTGCATTAGATAATCGTGTATACACATATGTCGTCAATATGCGGCAATTGCCCATGGCCCACGAACTGGGGTGAAAATGTTACAGATACTTTTCGACCGTATTCGAGACCGAATTCGTTTAGAAGGCTTTAAATTTGTTCGTATCCGAGTCTGGATATTCAACATCCGATACCGTATCCGTATTCGAATACTCAAATAGCATATTTATGATGTCGATATCTAATCATATCCTATCCGGCATGGTTGACACTATTTATATTCGAATCCAAATCCGGACAAAAATATGAAAACAAATGTGATATCAGTTATATCCGTCCGTATCCGATCCGTTTTCATCCCTACCCACGAGGACAAACCCCACCGAATCTTCAGCATCATCGAAATCATTAGTCTACCACAGTACCACTTCTAAGAGCCTGTTTGGTAGGGCACATCTTCAGCTCCGGCTCCTCCAGAGGAACCCTATACCAAACGTTTTGTAGGAGGAGTCGTTTTTTCAGTGAAAAACAGAAGAGCCAGAGGTGAATTTGGAAATCTGCAAAGCCCCAGGCCTGAACCACATTAAAAAGGACTAAATCTTTTCTCTTTATTTTTTACAGCTAATTAATTAAGTTTATATGGAGTTTTCTAGCCAACGACGAGGGCTGCAGCACGGGCAGCCCTGCCCCTGGGGCCGCCACTGTAGAGCCTCTCACGGAGCCCTTCCAAACGTACACCGCCTAAATGCGAGTTCCACTAAAACCTAACAAGTAAGTACAGTGAGTAGCATGCATTTTAGACAAAACTTTTTCTACGTATTACTAAACTTTTTGGCGGTGCTTGAGGTGCGAGTTCCACTAAAGCCTAACTAAAGTAACGTACATACGGTTTTAGACAGTACGGAAAGTAAGCTTTCTATTAATTACTGTCTCTGATTAGACGTTTCTTTTGAAGTCTTCACGTTATTCCATACCACAAATCCTCACTTCAGAAATATCCGGACACGATTATCATCATCAACATAATAGCCATACTATATATATTCTATTTTCTAAAAAAATAACCACATCAGCCATTATGAAAGAGTACAACGTTTTAGTTATATATGTTGGCACTATCAATATGCATATGTCAAAGGTTTAGTGAAAAATATATAAATATATCTAAAGTAACAACTTATATAAATTATATGTCATGGTTGTTAATATAATTTTAAATAATTTGTTAGTATGTTTAGCATATGAGTCATTGACGAAATACTTTTCATGATTGCTAAAATATAAAATATATATTTAGATATCGCTCATGCAGGCACTTGTACTTGATCTGTATGATGGCACAGTACGTATGTTTACTTTATCAAAATTTAGTATATTAAAATTAATAGAAATTGGCAATGGTTATTTTTGTAATAGAAGATGTTGATATATATATATATATATATATATATATATATATATATATATATATATATATATATGTAGATTTGAGGAGATGTTTTAGCTTTTTAATAATAACAAAAGTGGTAATGTAGATGCAAATTTAAGGGGCTATGTAGATTAAATCTCATATCGGCAGTAGTTAATTAGATCCAAATTTATGTTTACTTTATATCAACTTTCTTAATGGCATAGGTAAGTGATTTAAATATAGATATGACATATTTTATGTTTTTTTAAACAATCACAGATGGGTTAATTGTTTAGAGAATAGAATAGATTCAATGGCTATTATTATCAATGGTTATTAGAGTCTACCGAATTGACGGTAGATGCTTATGAATTTCTAGGATTTATCTTTTTATACTCTAAGTCTTGCGAGGATACATGAGACCCATTTGGGACTTTTATTAGAATTACTAGGATTTATTTGTTTTCTCTATTGTCATATGTAGAAACCTAAGTTTAAGTTTGTCGATGCAGAAAGTGACCAACACGTAAATATTTGTAGTTTTACCGTACGTTGTGATCGGAGGTGGCCTAGCACTCAATGACACAGGGTTTATACTAGTTCAGGCAACATGCCCTACGTCCAGTTTGAGTTGGTAAGTGACTTTATTCCTGAGCCCAGGTGCTCGAAGTTTGCAGTGGGGTAACAAACGAGAAGGAGAAAGATGGGGGGTACAAGAGGTCTGGTCGGACTCCGGTCGGAAGGGCCGAGAGTGACGGGAGCCCCGCTATGAGCTAAGTGTTCGAGCGTGTGCTAATGGTTTGAACCTGATGGTTCTGTTGTTGTGTACTAGAGAACTTGATCGATCTGAATCCATCTGTTGGGAGAGAGCGCATCCCCTTTTATGGATGAAGGGGATGGCCTTACAAGTGAGAGGGAGAGAGTACGTATGCTACTAAGCCTTATTGCCCACACCGACGGATACAGGATGATGGTAGGCGCCCACAATACTGTTGTATGTCAGATGCACGTGGGAGGTTGTGTTGTCTTCTTTGGGTATGGCAGACGTCGGCGCCTCCCACATTGTTGATACCCTGAGGCGTGCAAGGGGTTTGGCACATCCCCGGTTGGAGACGCGTGTCGGAGTCGGGAGCGGTGTTTGGCCAGGCCTTCCGGTCGGAGAGGCCATCCGGAGGCGGGCTGGAGACCAAAGCGAGCGCTCCGGTCAGAGAGGCGGGCCAGAGTCGGAAGCGGGTGCCATTCCTCCTCGGCCAGGCGTTTCGGTCGGAGATTGGATCGCCCCTCTGGCCTGTCATTTAGGTACTTGGGCCAGCCCATGAGTTGCGTGTTTGTCTGCTTGGGCCAAGCCTTTGCTGGGAAGCCGGTCCGCGAGGGACCCCGGGTTTATGAACCCGACAGGAGCCCCCAGGCGATTCGGGTAGAATCGTCTGGGGGTTTTTTCAGCAGGCGTGTGTGCGTGTTTTTTTAGTCGAGACGGAGTCGTCAACCAAGGCGTCGATGCGCAGCCAAGGTGGTTTAGTTTTAGGGATCGGGCAAGACGGAGCTCGTGGATCTTGGCATCGGTGCGCGTCGTGGGATCGAGGCAGTTAGTTTAGGGATCGGACGAGACGGAGCACGCGGATCCTGGTGTCGGTGCGCACTGTGGGATCGGGCGAGTTGGAGTCATGGATCCTGGCGTCGATGTAGTCCCACATAGCCGAGGCAGTTTAGTTTAGGGATCGGACGAGACGGAGCTCGTAGATCCTAGCGTCGGTGCGCGCCGTGGGATCGGGCGAGTCGGAGTCATGGATGCTGATGGGGCGAGTTCGGGGTCGTAGACCCAGGTGTCTGGTGTGCAGTCGAGGCGTAGCCAAGGGATGGGGCGAGTTTGGGGTCACAGACCCAGGCGTTTTGGGTGTCTTGAGCCCCCGAGCCCCGTTGGGCTTTGGTAGGGGTCGGTTTGAGTTGTGTGTGATACCTCATCCTCAGTTTCTCACAACCAGAGGGGTTGAGCTTTGTCGCTTGCCTCAATCACTCGGGCTCGAGTGATGTGGTCGGTGAGCTCGCTAACGGGTATGATCGAGTAGAATCCGGGTCCGTCGTTCATGACGGGGTCGGCATAGCCCTCTTGTGACATTCCACTACTCCTTTACCTATAACCCGACAGATGCCTGGGTCGTTCCAGAGACCGACCCGGGTGGCCCGCTGGCCTCCCCTTCGATGGAGATTCTGTGGGTTTGGCAGAGGCTTAGGATCGAACGAGAAGGTTGAGATGACCCTGTCTGCTTTGGGGCAGACTGGGCGAGGGCCGCACGGGGCTCATCTGCATTTTCTCCCCTATCTCTGTTTGACGCGAGGCGGCCTCAAGCCCTTTGTGGGTCGGCCTTCAAACCACGGTCAATCATTGCTCATGTTTGAATGAGGCAACTGCCGCTTCGTGATGCAACACGGAGCGTTGTGATGCATTTTGCCACATGTGCGATGCCTTAGTTCCTGAGCCCCCGGGCGATTCAGGGCCCAAATCGTCCGGGGGGCATGGGCGTATGGAATGAATGCATGTATGGACATATGAATGACTATAAAGAAATAGTGGGGGTTGGTAGTGTTACCTTGATGACTCAAGTGACGGGGGTTTGAAGAGCTCCAATCGGAAATGTCCGACCAGGACCCGTGCTCGTCGTTTGTGATGGAGTCGACATGGCCTACATGGGGCATCCCTTTGCTCCTTACCTGTCTCTCGATGTTTTCCTAAGCCATTCGATCAACTTAGGAAGCGCGATGGTCTCTCCTGGCGGAGATCCCGTTGTTTGGGTTTTTTTCAAGTCCCGCCTGGTTCTTGCGTGTGTGGTGGCGCTTTGGTTCTTGCGCCCGATGTGCGGTAGTGGTGGGCCATACCTAGGCCACGTCCCGTCTGATCAGGCACCGTTCCATCAGGCAGGGTGCGTCTCATCGGTCAGGGCGCGTCCCATCGTATCCCATCTGCATTAAATGGGGAAGGGAGAGGGTTTTTCGCCCTGTTCCTTCGCCCATTCCTCATCTACCATCTCTTCTTTCTTCCTTCTCGCCAAGAGCGTCTGAGTGTCGTGGCGGTTCCTAGGAGAGAAAAGAAAAGGGGGAGAGCGAGGGAGAGGAGAAAACTCACAAATCCGTCCGCGAACCCAGAGCAAAATGTTGGGCTGGAGGTCATCCACTGTGAGGGAGTCGGTGCTGGATGCCTTCGCCGTGAAGGGGTTTCTGCCGCCGAAGGAGGTGGCTTACTAGAGGGCTCCAGGGAGGGAGGATCTCCCGCAACCTTAGCCCGATGAGGTAGTTTCCTTCATTGCCTCCCATGAGCGTAGGCTAGGATACCCCGCGCACTGGTTCCTGCACGGGCTCCTCAATGAGTGGGGTTTGAAGTTGCAGCACCTCAATTCGACTGGGGTGCTGCATATCATCGGCTTCATCACCGTCTACGA